GCAACAAGGTTGGGCTGGAGAGATGAACATATAAATAGGAATAAAGATATAGAAAGAAATAATAAAAGTGCGAACATAATAACATAATAAAGGGTGGTACAAAAAAAAGGAAACCCAAAAATAAATTATTAAATAGTTTACAATTACTTAACTAAACAAAATATGTTCTACGTGTCGTCCTTCGTTAGTTTTTTTTTGTCCTAGTACGCTAGGCACGGGCCCGGAATTGTTTTTCACATTACTTCAGGCTAGATCTAGGAGTTACGGCATTATCAGTTAGATAAAATCCTTAGGAGATTTGGCGGCATTTGAACACGGGACCTCTGGAACCGAAGTCCCACGCTCTAACCACTAAACAAGCTCGTCCTTCGTTAGTAACCAAATTTTCCATTCGGTCCATGATTTTGCTGGCCATCTCAGAGCACTGCTGGGTGATGTTTGTTGCAATATTCATGAAATAGCTCTTAGCGTTTGGGTTTCCTTTTTGTAGCACCACCCCGCATAGGGAATGCGGAAAGAGGCAGTTTTTTTTAGATTTGGTTTTGTAATCAGAAGGATCACCCATGCATTAGATTTTGGGATGGGTTCTATCAGAAAGGTAAAAAGAGGGACTACCAAGACACAAATGCCGCCTGGAGATAAAGGGGGCTTTGTAAAGGCAAGTGGGCTGACAGACATGCATATGGAGTCTGGGGGCAGAAACATGGCATGAGGAAGCTACAAAATGTAAAAGTATAGTAAAAAGTTGCCCTTGTTCCATCATAGATGTTATAGCAGGGTTCAATTTGAGGTGGAGTTCAGTACTACCATAGAATAAACTAAACTCTCTGTAAAGCCATTTTTTTTAGTTTGTATATATTTTCAAAAAAGACAAAACCCTAAACAAATTAAGATGATGCTTATTGTTTATCTGCTATTTATTGTGGCATAGCAAATTTATCTTCAAAGGACGGGATAGCGCATTATTTATCTTCATAGGACGGGGATAAAAGGAGTGGTGACGAGTAAATGTATTATCTATTTTGGTAGGTTTCAGTTTTTAACGTCTCAATTAAAAAATGAGCACAGTGTATTTGCATGTGGATTTACAAAAACAGTATTATCTTTCTGCTGTTTAAAAATTGTGATTTCAGCATTTCCCATTATTTTATTACTTTATATTTCACTGTTTTTGAATAGTGTAGTTGACATTCAACTGAGAAAGGAGTCCAAGGGATTATGTTGGAAACTTATGCTGGGTATGTGTGGTTTTTTACAGCTGTGCTAATCTTAACTGATACGATAAAATGTTCTGGCACTTTATAAAGATGTATACATGGAGTATACATATGCCTTCTGTAAACATTATAAGAACACAAATTATAAACGTATGTTTATGTTCATAAATGACAACCATTCCCATCGATAAGTAATTTTGACTAATAAATTATAAAAGTGAACAAAATATACGATAATTCTTTTTTGTTAATGATTTCAATGGTATTTTGTATGAAAGAAAAAAACTTTTGTGTGCTAGAAGTTTTTAATTCTAAAGCTAAAAACTTGATATTTGTTAGCTGGAAAGTAAAACTTACTCTGGAAGATTTTGAAGAGTCTTGTTGTTCACTGACAGCAGATTTTGCAGCTCCGAGCGAGCCTCTTTCCATGCAGCCTTCGGTAAGCTCATGAAGTCGTTCAGTGAACTCTAAAACCAAACTCTGAGTCATCTATGGCGTTTGTGGTTGACAACAGAACAATAATAGACAAAATCATGCATCTAATAGAAGACTCAAAGCGTAAACTACATAGTAAACAAATTCACTAGTCAGAAACATTTGCTCCAAAAAAAAAAACTATAACAAAGTGAGGGTTGTATATTTTTAAATGTCTAATCTCATTTGAGGTTAGTTCACTTAGGCTAATTTATGGTTAATTTCAATTTTTTTATTTTATATAATTTCTTAAGATACTGTTTCATAAAAAATTAAATTACATTTTAATAGAAACCCATAGTAAAATTGAAGTATTTTTTTCATGTGTATTTGTGTATGTAATAGCGTTCCACAAAACTATACACCACATTTAGTACATATGAATGTTATTTTAATTGTTATTCCTGTACACAAGTTATATCCTCTCAACATATTGGATTATCATCTTTTCCTATGCCTTGTTTTAAAATGCTGCTATATAGTTGAAACCAATGTTTATTTTGGATTCTTACCATAAAAATATGAGAATGAATTGCCTGCTGTACTTTGCTTTAAAAAATAAACAACTTTCCATATAATATATAATTAATTATTACAATTAATGATGACGTACAAGGAATTAATTTTTAGATATTTTACTGATCATAAAAAGTAAAATCTGAAAATTATTTTTCAAATGTCATTTGTAAGCTGCAATAGCACAGGTCTTTGATGAATTGAGAATGTGTATTATATGTAAAACTAGATATTAAACCCCTTTGGTATTTATTACCTCCACAAATAACTATGACAACATATGTTAAAGACTGCTTACTTGGGAGAACACATCTTGATGATTCTTCAGCTGTGGTCCATTGAACAAGTGTTTTATTTTGCTCAAGTCTAAAATTTGATCTCCAATAGCCACCCCAATTCTGTGCTGTTTCTGTTTAACCAAACAAAATACACTTAATATGTTTTTGTTATGACTAATAATGAGTATTTTTTTAGATTTGATAATCAACTATCATTAAAATAAAATACTAAATGGTGCAGTTTTTTAAAGGAGAGGAATAGAAAATATGATATATTTTTCATTAAACCCCCTTTACAGTTACGATAAATTAAATAGTTGGGAAAGAGACAGATAAACAATTCCTATGGAAATGACCACCACATGCAGTTGACCTTGAAATCGTTCCAAGTGATAAACAGAAACCGGTGGGTTATGTCCACAACAAACAGCTAGAGCTAAGTAAACAACTCCAAAATCTGGAATTACACTATCACTATCATGGAATACAAAATCAAATCAACACATTTGTTATCCCTCATTGAATATTACCTTGCAAAGCATTTATTTCAATTCTAAATATACCAAACATTACAACATTGTTTCAATGAATATCAAATAGAATTTTTTTTTTAGTATACAGTTAGAAATAGTGAAAACCAATTCTTTGAAATTTTTTCTACATGAAATCATAAATGTATTTCTATAATCTGCTTAAACAACAGAATAATAAAAGATTAATCTATGCTCATATACAAAAGATTAAATACTGTACTGGTTTATCTTCAATTATGACATAAAGTTTGTTCTACTTACATTGTTTTGTGTTGAAAACACCCCATATGGGAGATTTTCTATGGGAAACTCTGAGTTTTCTGGATAAGGAATAAAACTCTTCATCTCTGTAACCTGTGTTATCTACTAGAAGAGGTTCGTTTTGACTGCTGTCTGTCCAGTATCTGCCTGATTGTGAGCTCTTACTAGTGTGTTTACAATGTTATCAGGGTGTGGTTAGGACTTTGCTCACTAGAGTGCAGCACACTCTAAATGTGGATAAAGCAGATCAAGAAGTACATTTCACATGTAGGTAAAGCAGATTAGGTAACATTGTTCTGCCAAAACTGTAACATTGGTGTAGAGCTCAAAACAATAACAACTTTCATTAATTATTGTTTTGAAAACTTAGACACAACACAAAGTGAATAAAATAAAATAGTAAAAATGTCATAACATTTGATAAATTGTGTGTTTAAAAACATACTAATTATTATTAACATGAAATAAATGTTAATCTTAACAAATTAGATGATTTCAATAAAACAGAACAGTTTCTGCTTAGTCTGCAGGTTTGCTGCAGCGGGGTTATTTTTAATAATTTGTTTTGTCCAAAATATCACAACCACAATGATTATTTCTGCACAAAAATCTGCCTTTTCTCATTTTGTTTCCTTTAAACCCAGAACACTAACATTTGTTAACTATAGCAATATGTACTATTAAATTCCTTATTTCCATCCTCCAGCATTATGGAATAGCTATCTGAGTAGAACAACATGGGACCATTAAAATTAAAATGGTCCATGTTTTTTTTTTACTAAATCACTATAATAAGAACCATCAGAAATATCTTTAGTAGAAAAGAAAACCACTTGACCATAGCAAACTCTAGTCTTTGAACACAATTTCCACTTTATTTAACACGTTCACCACGGCATACATCAAAGAGGCGCTCGCTAATGGCGGTGAGGCCCGGGCGAAGTCCCAGCGCACCACCAATCAGCGAATGCAATTGACATTCAAATGTTTCAGTCTGATTAATCACAAAAGAGCAGCGGTGATTGTGCTGAGTTACCCCCGAGAGTGGACGTAGTTCACTGAAACACCCAATGGTAGCAGCACTGACTGGATCCGTAGCCAGTGTCTTTGTAATGTGGCTCGAAGAGAGAAAATCCCCAAAACCGGGACAAAAGTATTGCCAGATGGGATTTTACTGGAAATTTTATTACCAACCTACACCAAAATAAAAGCTCTAAACTAAAATTCTAAGCTACAGACTGGCAACGTTTAAACGTTCCGCGTCAATGGCTGAGCTCATTCTGACTGTTCAAATTTAAATCATGGGAACGGCCGATTACTACCACGCAGCACCTGGCCCGCAACCGGCACCGGAAAATTTTAACTGCTCAGCAGCGAACGTGTTAAAAAAAGTTCCTTACGGCCTTTAGCAGAATTATGAACACTCAATTTTAAACAATAACACTTTGGTAACGTTATACAGTATAGGTAAGAATTGTATTAAAATACTTGATTGATAAGCTTCAAAATCCTAAGCTCTGAAATGTTTTTAAACAACACTACTTGAAAAAAGATACTGATTATTTAATGTTACATACTATATGTTGTGCTTGCAAGAAAAACCAGAATGTTTTAAGTGAGAGGAAACAAACTGACTGAGCGAAAAGGGAATTGTATTTGTAAGGTCATTGAATATGTAATGTTAAGTGTTAAGTCTGGATTTTTACAAAAATATCAACATATCAGTAAACAATAAAAATTTATTATAGAAACTTTCAACAAAATGTACATACAAATGCCATTCTAAAAATGATGACCCTATTTAAACAACAATACTTAAGGGTACTACAGTATTTTAACTCTTAACTGTTTATTTTATAAACAACAATGGCATTTTTAACACTATAAAATCCAAAACCTGAGTATGTTACTCTAAAATGTTTATCTTCTTTTGGCAGACGTGGAAAATTAGTCAAACTGCATCTGAGTTTATTGTAAATTCTTCCATCTGTATAACTACAACACTAAACAACAGTTAAAGGGAAGGACATTTTGTGGGAACAACTCAATCGTGAGAGTAATGTCTAGTTGTCTTTGATCATTGCATTACCATAAATTGCTTTTAAGAAGAATTTCATACACTCACAGTTACAGAGAAAACCAATATGTATACATTTGTATTTTATTAAAGAGGAAAAATTAGGATGTTTAGATGAAATACCTATTTTGCTAATGTTAAAGTTGAGGGACAATGACCCCATATGCGATGAAATTATACATATCATTAAAAAAGGATTATACAAAATTTTTTAGGGAAGAATACAGAATTTAAATTTGATTTTACGTTTTCTTAAAATTTCAGGGGAATGACTGTTAGAAAAATCTTCATAAAAGCTCTTTTCAATTCAAAACTTTCTTGGTTGCAAATGTGATTGCAGTGAAATGTTTAAATTGTGTAAATTGAATAAAGGTCTTGCCTATATTTATATGAGCCTGCTATACAAACACAAGTCCTTAACAACTAAAAGAGAGGGTGTTTAATGAATACTAATACCAGGAGTATAAAACCTTTTTAAATAAAATAAATAAAAACCTTCTTAGTACAACAAAATGAAGCACCCTTCTTAATACTTGAAATGCTTCAAGACTTTCAAAATTGAATTTGTATTCGGTTCCAAAAAACATAAAAGCCCTTTGAAAACAAATAAATTAAAGCCTTCTTAGTAGAGAACATCAAGCACAGTTCTTAAAATCATGAGATGTTTTAAATACTTCAATGTCATTGTTCTCTATTAGGAACAAAGTGAATTACTGCAAAACAAACTATTGATTAGCTAAATACTTTTAAATGTTTTGATGAAATGCTAAACTCTCTACAGATGAAAAGTGATTAGTGAAATGGGAGTATCCTATGAGTATCCATGAAAATACAATACAATTTTCCTTAAAGTTAAGTCTTAAAGGATAATCTTTAAATAAACCCTATAGCTAAAAAGAGTTCATAACTAAACCACGGAAAACATTACCAAAACTCATTCAGAGAACAAAATAGTTTTGGTAGGGGATTTTTTCAGTACTAATGGCAAATTCCTCCTAGTTAGATCCTTAATGTAGCCCAGTAAGTTATTCTCACCTAGCAAGTGTAGGCTGAAGAATAGCTTCCTCTTATAGAGAGGTTTGATGCAGTGTTAAGACACAATCTAATGTATGTCTAGTTTTGTAGGGACAGGTCCAGATTAACCCTCTATGACACCCTAGGCCAAACTCAACTCATACCCTTCCACCCCCAAAAGGGGTTAATTATTTTGTAGGTTACTCCAGTTGGTAGTTACTTTATCTGTGAGGGAACAAAACTTTAATGAGACTCTAGCTTTTTTAGGGTTAGTGATAAATTGACAGCTTTCGATTCATGTAGGATTTTACACGTTTATGATTTGAGATTGAGACATGATGTCTATTGTCTTTAAGAACAATAGACACACTGTCCAGAATTTTTCAAGAATTACAGAAAGTTGGTGGTGACTTAGTTTATGCATGATTTGGCTGCAAGACACTGCTTTTTATTAATTTGTGAAATTGAAAATGCACTGCTCTTGGAAGGTTATTGTAACCTAATAAACACATAGCAGGATGTACAGTAGGAACATACACATTCCTTCTGTCTAATGTTTTGTTGGCCCTAAAACTCAAATCTACTGAATCTCAGGATAAAATGCCAATTATAGATCCACCAAGTGGATTTGGAATTGAAATCTCGAATTAAGTTACACCCACTGTTTACGTAAGAACCGCGTTCCTTTTGGCAGCAAATGTAATAGAATTTGAAGATTGATGTGCAAGCTTATGAAAATGTCTATATCTGTTTTTCGAGTGTTGGCTATGATTTGAGGATTTTAGACGGAAATCTAGCAATTTAATCATGATCACAAAAAATTATAACAATGTTGTCGTGATCATGGTGGATAATCTTGATGTGTTGCTGTGATTCTGTTAACAGTTTTGGAAATAAACTGTTTAGAAATTATCAAAAATTAAGTAAATAATGGCGAGACACTTTTTCTACAGTGGATTCTATATTGGTTTTTTACAGGTTTTACAGGTTATTTGAGATAGAGAACACAATTTGTTATAATTTGAACTCAGAACTTTTAGATTGGGCCGTCCCAACTTCTCTCACAAAACCATCGATTGACAAACTCAATACCCCCCTGGCATGCCCTAAGAAATGGCCTAGGTTAGTACAGTAGTTAATCCAGTCCTGTGTAAAGATGCAGGTCCTAATTTCTAACTTGATGGATTTTTTCAATATAAAAAACAATAAATAAATAAACATTACTCACTAAAGAATACTGTTTCACAGAAACAATCTGTACACTATTTTATATACAATTTGTTGCTTACGACTAAAGTCACTTAAGTGATCCCTGTACTTGAATCTCTCTCTGGGTTTCATCGAGATTTTTAATATAAAATAAATGTTTCTACAAAGTACCATACATTAATTATAATTTGTCTCTTTCCAAAAAGATATACCAATTTGTATGATGCTAATATTTGTTAAATATTGTTGAATTATCAAATTTACCAAAAATTTTTAAAATATGATTAGTCTATTAATAAACCTAGAACTAAAGGACCAATCTTCATGTTATATGCTTTATGCAACTCTGTTAATCATATTTTAATGAACTTGACGAATGCATAGAATTGGGATCTCACTTTAAAAGGTCCATCAATTGAACTCTTTGCATTCGGAAGCTTTGATTATGTGCTCGGTTACAAGTTTCTTTGGTACATATACGTCAGTCTAATTTTATGGTTTTACAGGAAAGGTTGAAACACTTTCCTCCATTTTTTATTTGACATATTAGTTTGCATCATCATTTGTAGTCCATAAAAAAAAATTATAACTAGTCTAAAAAAATAGTCTATTTCATTACTAGGGCCAGAGCCCAAAGCGACTTTTTTCGACACAAGCCCAAGTTTAAAGACCATGGAAAATGAGCGAGGGTAGGAAAGACATTTCTGGCTTATGTGATGGACAATATTTTTTTGTTATTCTGCACCATTATAATATCAGCTAACCACAACAAAAACAATAATTTCATAGATTGTCAAGATCAAAAAAATAATTTCTGTCTTGTTTTGCTATTGTTACTATTACAATTACAATGTTACTGTTACTAATAATAAGCAACAGGTATTACTCTGCCAACACAATAATAAATTCAAAACGGCTGTTTTCAAAACACACTAGCTAAACTAAAACTAATTCTTTTATCCAAAGGGCAAAAAAGATTAGGTAGCTGGATTTGAGGACATTAACTGTATATTTTTCGCTTTGTAAAAACTTATTTTGATAGAAAAATTGAAGTAAAAAATATATAATCATATTGTTATTATTTTTTTATCATTGACTTACATCGTATGTTTTACAACAGTACAAAATATCTTTATCTTTGTTTACACTGATTGAAGAGTAAAAATGTTCAAAGTAATTTAAATTTCAATTATTGTGTAGGAGTAATAGCCAACACAACTGTTTGTATTTAATAACGTAACTTCTTAAGAGATTTATAACTGTAAACAATGAACAAAATATTTGTTTTTTTTATTTGAATTGCTTAAAAAATCGTGCAATAGAAAAAAATCTAGATCTTAACACAGGCCAAAATGTCTTTTTGATCCACACTCATTCGCTTACTGAGGCAAATCCAAGGTTGTCCCACTCGAGTTTGTGTCGAAAAGTCACTTTAGTCCTTGATGAAATATGCTTTTAATTGCAGACATGTTACAATACCTCTGGCAAATTTTATTTTCAGGATGGCAGAAAGTGTAACTCTGCCAAGCCATATACTAATACTTTTTGAAACCCCTCCCCCCTTGCAAAGAATAAGATTTACACATTAGTGTCTTTGGAAGACTCTCCGAACGTGTTTTGCATCTCTAGTTGACTCTGGGCAATGTCAGCAAGAGCCTCTTGTATCTTCCCGAGAAGTGTTTCCCCTCGATGAACAACCTCTTCTAGTCTCTCTGCAGCTTCTTGGTTGTCCTGCTCCAACCTCCGCAAACTCGCCATCTTTTAAAGATTAAACACAACAATTAACATTTTCTTGCCAAAAACTTCAACAAAAGTTGATAACTTTGAGTCGGCTGAGAAATTTTAAATCTCTTGTTCTTAATAATACCGGTAACTTCTTTGCCTCTAGGTAAATATATAGGAAACTTCCATTAATTGCACCCAAAGCTAACGAGTCTGTACCAATCTAGACATTCAATGAATTTTATGCTAGGTATTAATTTTCAAACTCCTAAAAAACCAAATGTCAAATAATAGGTATGTTTACTTTTCTTAAACTAGAGTTATTAACAGAAGATTTAAATAAATAAATCAATAACTATTTACTGCTTAACGAAGTTTAAATCGAAAAAGCTTTACCGAGCATTTTCGATTTATTTTTGTATGTATGGTTATGTAAAGCCAATTACGGATTTTTGTGACACCGTGTATATACAAGTTGTATCATGTGAATATGAATTTGATGTGGGGGTTTAGTTTAGAGATATGTCCACTGTATTTAGTAGGGATGGAGGGGTCCCAAAATTTCGGGAAATTTTCGGGAAATAAATATTCCCGATTTTCGGGACGGGATTACATTTGATTCGAGAATTTTTCGGGACGGGATTTGTTCCAATCGTCGGCGATTTTACAGCTTCGCGAGTGACGATGACGCCGCTATCGCGAGAGATATTCACGATAGTTCCGCAAACGCAAGAGACGAAGTCATTTTGACGATCCTGTCGAGACCACGAGTCACACCGACGATCAAGCCGTGACCGCGAGTCACACTGACGAACATGCTGGCCGTGAACGTGAGTCATACCGACGATCGCGCCGTGAACGTGAGTCATACCGACGATCGAGCCATGACCGCGGAGTCATAACGACGATCACGCCGAGACCACGGAGTCATACCGACGATCCCGTCGAGACCGCGAGTCACAACGACGATCGCGTCGTGACCGCGAGTCATACCGACGATCGCGCCGTGACCACGAGTCATACCGACGATCGAGTCGTGACCGCGAGTCATACCGACGAACATGCTGTGAACGCGAGTCATACCGACGATCACGCTGTGATCGTGAAAATAAACACAGTGACCGTGTTATTTCGCCCATTGCACCGTGACCATTGAGTCATTTCGACGATCGCACCGTTACCGCAAGTCATTTCGACCAAGAGTCACAAGTTTCTATGCCTGTAAATTTGTACCCTTTTTTTTGGTTTTGATAGATCAGTGCCACAAATGATAAAAATTGATTTTGTTTGTCTTTTTTGGTAAATACTAAAGAATTGCTTTTTATGCACAGGAAAAAATCCCGTCCCGAAAATCGGGAAGGAAATAAAAATCCTGTCCTGAACTAAAAATTCAATCCCGTCCATACCAAGTATTTAGTATTGGCTACAAGAAAATCGTTAAGTAATAATGGTAATTTCTAAATAGCCTATTCATGTAACTTAGATTTTTTCGTAAATACCTGAATTTGCAAAATTCCAGAATAAGTTAATCTTATCTTACAATCTTTTTACCTGTAACTCAGTAGAGGACTCTTCGTTTGGTAGGGACTCTATGAGGGTGTCGATATCTTTGGCGGTTTTTGCAATCAATGAGGCGAACAAGTGAGCATAATCTGTAAAACACAATTAGCTTACTGTAACGTCATCTGCTAAATTGGAATATCTGGATATTTTATACAAAAATATAAAAATAGGAAATGTGCAAAGTTGAAATTTCAATATCACAAACAGTACGGTAAGTATACAAACAGGCCCGAGGTTAGTATGTGATGGGCTATGGGCCCAAGAGCTAGTTGCTTAACTCTATTGCAATATTTTGCTGATTTCCCAGCATCCACATGTTTTATAACATTGAGTTAAATAAATAACAACCTTATGTTAAATAAACTGATATAGTAAATAAATGATATAATAAATAAAATAAATGCTTCTGTCTTCTTGACATTTTTCGATTTGCTGTACATTCAAGTTCAGCAAGTATTGTTTAGTAATATTGTGGGGCAATATTAGCGAATTTCCGTAAATTTCCTAGAATCAAGTGATGAATTTGGGAACTACGACTATGAACGCATCTTCAACAAAGGTGGTAAATTCAGCATTATCACAAATTTCAGCAAAATTTAAATCGTTACCATGAACGGTGGAAAATCTGGTGATCATACCACAAAAACATCAGCGACCGTAGTTAAATACTTTTCAAAAACTGTGAGTGTTGGTGGTAACACAGTAGTCCCTATCCCGCCCATGTTAATTTCACCATTTTTAGGTACACTTAACTTCTTTAAAAAGTATCCTAACAACCTGATATTTTTATACATTGTCTTACACACCTTTCTCAACGATAATAGGAACCACTTTTGTTCTAGAGTCAAAAATAATTTTTTTATGCATTTTTTCAAAAACATAAATATTTTATCGCGTTTTCTAATTAAAAAATAATTAAAACTCGGGTTGTATCAATAATTTTGTAATTTCACTTCCTATTATTATTTGTTAATATACACAGAAGGTCTGTAAGAAATTTCATTAAAATCGGTTCATAAATGTGTCAAAAAAATGTACCGGACGAAGAAAAAAGCAAATTTTTGGTAAATCGCATATGAGGGGTTGAGAGGCCAAGGGAGATATGTGACTTTTTAAAAAATGTTGTCATGGTAACGGGTTTTGTTAAAAAAGGGTGGAATTTCAACAAATAATTCATTTATATCCCTTGGCCTCCAAACTAAACACCTAAGAGTTGGAAGCCAAGGGGTATAAGTGAATTTATTTTTATTTTTATTTTATTTTTTATGACTCTGAAAAAAATACAATGACATTTTTTAAAAAGTCACTTATCTCCCTTGGCCTCTCAACCCCTCATATAAAGCCTTATTCGCAGTCATGCGATCACTGAAACCGCTTTGCAAGACTTATAATAAATGACAAAAAAATATATAAAATAAATTTTATTATATGACATATTTAGTATCTATGGATTCAGGATAAAATTTAAAACTAGAATTAATTATTAAAAAAAATATTTTTTTTAAATTTTTGAATATAAAGCCTTAGGCGCTGTCATGCGATCACTGAAACAGCTGTGCAAGATTTATAATAAATGACAAAAAATCTATCAAATAAATTTTATTATATAACATATTTGGTATCTATGGATTCAGTATAAAATTTAAAACTAGAATTAATTATAAAAAAAAATATTTTTTATTTTTTTATTTTTGACTACTGTGTTACCTTAAAGCATCCCCTATTTTTTTCTTTAAACTTGTTTATAGCCTACTTTGTAGCCTATAGCATCACCCTCACAGAGATACTCTAGCCTATTCACAAAAAGTCACACACAAAACTGACCTGTTAACCTAACAATGTATCAGGTATTTATTGAGAAGGTGTAAGAATAAGGGTAGTAATATAACTCAAAGGTGATTAGTCGTTTACGTAAAAGTTGTGCATTTTTAACAGTTAGGAAAGACCTAAGACTTTGCTTAGAAACCCCAAAATTCACAACATTCTTTGATGTTGAGAGCGCTGCTAGTTTTTATTTTAACATTGAAGTACTGGTACTGTAATTTCTTATTTAGAGGGTTGCAAGGAGACAATGACCTGGCGAGGGAACTCCAAAATTTGTCAAATTCTTTGACACCGAGAGGGCTACAAGTATTTGGTTTGTTTACATTGCGCTTCATGCCTCATTGCCCCACTGGATTAGTCCCTCCAAGAACTTACCTGGGTCCCTGGGGTAAGTTAGTAGAGTCGGATTTTAAAATTTAGCTCGAACGTCAGCAAGGCTATTGGTGTTGCTGTGGGGCAATATTAGCGAATTTCCGTAAATTTCCTAGAATCAAGTGATGAATTTGGGAACTACGACTATGAACGCATCTTCAACAAAGGTGGTAAATTCAGCATTATCACAAATTTCAGCAAAATTTAAATCGTTAACATGGACGGTGGAGAATCTGGTGATCATACCACAAAAACATCAGCGACCGTAGTTAGGCTAAATACTTTTCAAACTGTGAGTGTTGGTGGTTGGTTTTCAAAACACTAGACTAACTTACAGTAAATGTTAGAGCAACATTGTGATCACCTCCTAAGTTTGCGGTGCGGCGACTTTGTTATTGTCCTTCGCATGACCTAAAACACCGTCACCATCCTTCGCGATCACAGTTACACAAATGTCAACTAGGATCTCTACAATTTCACAATCAATACGAAATGACTACAGTGAACACGGTTACGGTTTGTTGATATTTGCCATATAGTCTAAATGTGTTTATTCCGAATTCCCCCTAAATCTAAACAGGGATTAGTGATGTGACGAGTCGAGTACTTGACTCGTTGAGTATCGAGTCCAATGAAGTATCGAGTCGACTCGATACCAAATCGGCAATACTCGAGTACTATTACTCGTGAACTAAAGCTTACTAGATCCGCCGCTACGAGTCCATAGCGCTTGGGTTGGGTGCATGTCTACTCGAGTCGAGACTCGGATGTTGTTCCAGATTTTGCCACTACGAGTCGACAGCGCTTGTGTGCTTAGCTTGACACTGACAGTTCGTATTAATACACTGCTGAATGTTCAAGATATAGTTTCAAAACTATCCGCTACGAGTACATAGCGCTCGAGTAATTTGCTTACTCGAGTCAAGACATTGTTTGTTATTAATCTAAGTTTTATAATAACGAATAAAATCCATAATTAATTATCAACTCAATGTGAGATAAATAACCTATCTCGCTCTCATCTTAAATCTACACAGAGTATAAAACGAGTCCGAGCCAAGTCTGTCCGACTCGAGTAAAGGGACTCGAGTCCGAGTCAAACAAGTTCCATTTCCAGTAGGGCCTATTCGCACGGCAGCTACGAGTCAACAGAGCTTCGGTGTTATACAGGTAAGAATCGAGTCCAGTACTCGAGTACCGACTCGAGTAGTTGTGGTATCGGGTCGAATTGACTCGAGTAGGGAAAGTACTCGACTCGTCACATCACTAACAAGGATCGGTCCCAGCTAGTTGGGAACAGTGGGACTCTACTGTACTTATTTACAGCCTAGCTTATAGCCTAATTGAAAACAATATTTTTTACCTTCTTGCTGCTGTGGGGTTTGAGATCCACTTCGATCAAAACCGGAAAACTTGCTTGGAGTTGAATATTGCTGCAGAATTCCAATGCTGTTACAGAAGTATTCAGCTTGCTGAAAGAATATTGAAGGATGTTTAAACAGTGTTAGGCCTATTTATAACTGCTATCACTACCATAAAGAGCATTAGCATAAAGAGTTAGTTCATCTTTAGGATTTAAGTTAAGTTAACTGATCATTTTATTTTATTTGAAAATTTTGAACAATGATAGCCTCCCGACTTAACCCTTAGAGTGCCAGGCGAGAAATAAAAGTAACGCTCAAAAAATGCCGATGATTTTTCCCGAAGGTCGCGCTAAAAATGCCGAGCGCGATCTGGCGATTTTTAGGTTAAAATTTCGTAAAAATCGAATTTTCGATATTTCGACCAACGAAAATCGATGTAGGCCTATCGCATCTAGTAACTTTTGACACAATGTTAATATATGGGTTAAAAGAATCCGAGTATCCATTCGGTTGTTATGACAACTGTTTGATCATTACGAAACGTCCGGTCAGCCGGACGTTGGCACTTTTAGCTTGTTCTAAAAACGTCCGGTCGGCACTTTTGGCTCGTTTTAAAAACGTCCGGTTCCCCGGACGTTGGCACTCAAAGGGATATCGAACGATATATTGATTATTCGATATATCGTTTGGTTATTTAGGTAAGGTTAACCTAACCTAACTAACCAAACGATATAGGTATCGTATGAAACAATCGAATACGAATAATCAATATTTTAATTCGAATGAGTGTAGGAGCTAAAGTAAAGTGCAGCCGAAGAAATATGAAAAAAACAAGTTAAGTTACAAGGTATTTTTAGGTAAGTTAGGCCTAAGTTAACTTAAGTTACTTTTCATCACAGCTCTGATGACAACAAGATTATTTAACAATCCCTATGTCCAAAGGCTACTTTTGTGATGCAGGCAAAGACAGTTTTCAAAAACAAACATTGAAAAAGAAAGTCAAGAAAAGAATTCTAGAGTAGGGTTAGGTCTACAATGAAGGCTAGTCAAACAGCCATTTGGGTCTATAGGCACAGAAAGATAACATTTCGGCTTAGACCTACTTTTATGTTTGATAGCTTAAGTAAATATATACTCTCATCTCCTTGTGATGACACACTATATCTAAGGAGTCCATGAAAAAGGGTACCTATTTAAACTAAGCACTGTAATTTTAATAACTAATATGCCTAATAGATAGGTACCTGGTTGATAGTGTCTTGAAGTTGCGTTAGTCTGTCAGCCATTCTGTTTTTTAAACATTAATCTAAACTAAAATATAATTTGTATTCCTTTCTCTTCAAAAACGTAGGTTTCTATCTTAGAATAAACAAACCAAACACTGATTACTGAACTTGAAAAGACTGTTTTAGTTAGTTTGCTGATGCTGATGCTGATGCTGTTTGCTGTTATTGCTGCTGCTAGCCGTTGTTTTGTTATTATGCGTTCTTCTTCTCCTCCATTCCTATCCATAATCATAAACAGTGTTCCAAAACCGTGTTGTTTTTTCTATTGCCTTTGGTCACATAATTGAGAGTCTTACTATAGATTATAGTAGTAAATTAATCTATGGTTTTGGTCAAAGTAAATTGTACCAACAACAAGAGGGAATATTTCAATTGGTATTTTGTTATTAATAAGATCACCCTGCCATAAATAAATTGTATTATAACTTCTTGTTAATTAATTCAAGTATCCAAGTAACTAACTTTAAACCCATTTCAAAAATTCAACTAAATATAAAATTGTTTTGCTAACCATTATTTTTTTCAGGCATAATAGCCACAGAAAGCAGCATAAATTGTAAAATAAGAGAAAATCATTTAGCATCATGCTCATCAATTTGGCACATTTTAAAATATTGTCTTGAAAAAATCATTTAAGTACCCAATAGGTCTAATACGGAATTTTACTAAATGAATAGCTTTGAAAGGAAGATTACTACAGATACCTTATAGGCAATAATTTGTCTTTTATTTCCAAGCACTAATTCAGAAAAGAGTAAGATATCAGAGATACCAGATTTCAGTGCAAAATAAACCTCAGTATGCAGCAAACCAAACTTTTCACTGTGTACTGAGTTTATCTCAATAAACTAAACAAGAATAGAAAATTATAAAATGGATTGTATAAGGTTAAAGTTGAAATGCAAGTAGGGAAATTCATTTTAGGAATAATATTGAATGCTCTTTTTACAACAACGTTCATAGAAAACTACAAATATTTTTACAATTAATCATTGTAGCAGTTTTATTTATAGCCTATGTTACAGACAAAGCATTGTCTTACATTTTCCTATAGATTACGTTTTTAAGATATTGTGCGAGGGATTCAAAACTCCCAGTCATCTTACTATTGCCATCACATCATGCATTTTGCATACACAACCATATTGCTCTTAATATCAAAGTCTTTTATAGTATATAAGCAGATATTTATCCAATATATCTACAGGGTATCCAGTTTCAACAAAGACAAACTTTACCAGATAATTCGGAATATTAAAACAAGGAAAAAATGTGTCCTATCTCGAACCTCTTAGCACCTGTCTGTCTGTGTATGTGTTTTTTACAAACTCCTAAACGGTTTAAGCCACAGCGTTGAAATTCTGCAAACACTTTTTTTGTGGTTTTTATAAAAACATTGATCATGATTCCGTAAGGGTTTGAACCACAGCATTAATGTTTTTCTTGGTATACAGTTTTCTTCATTTGAACAATGTTGAATACAGAGTTAAAAAAATAATTTTATGATGTTGGTTCTGAAATGTTACTATTATTAAATTGTACTTTTCCAACGTGTCTTGTGTTTACAACTACAATATAAATTTTGCGGGTTCCCTTTCTTTTAAAATTTTGGTTGTATGTGAAATGCTTACAACTTCAGCAAGATATAAACGAAAGTTGTAAATACACGTAAAATTTTGCATGTACATAACAATATACATAGCTTCTTGATAACTTATTTGTAAATAGTGTTTAGGTAATTTTGTCTCTAACCTACCTGTTTTGCAGATAGACCCTCCTGACCTCAATTAAAGACATACCACAAGCTCTCACTAACAACTTGGAAATTGGTGAGTGAGTATACACATTATATCATATCAATGGTTAAGAAAAACTTCTAGAATTAAAGATATTTACGGAGTGTCCTGCATGGCCCTAAAGGCTCTTATTAAATCTTCATTTGCCCACTAGGTTAGTGAGCTAATTCCCAGATTTATTGAAAACAGCTAGAACCGTACCTGTCTATAAGAAGGGTGATGTTTCCAATAACTTTAGGCCTATTTTCATTCTACCTGTGTTCTCAAAAATACTCGAAACCACAATGAAGAAACACAATTTGATTAATTTTTTAATTCTTATTTCTATTTAAGATGTACTCAAAATAATCAATAAATTGTCGGGTTTAATTTGAGGGTTTAGCTATTGATCGTTTGAATCAGTTAAGCTTAAAATACTGGATTACTCAATAAAAAATCATAAGTTTGATTATTTTTCGGATACAATATTTATTTTAACGCTGCGGAACAGCATGGGTCCTCTAGTTTATATTTAAAATAAAATACAGAATTTCGTCAGCTGTTTGAACTGCACAAGTTGGTTCTATGATATTAAATGTAAAAATAAACCCTCAGAACTAATTCCTGATTGTTTTTAATTTTGATAATAGGATAATACAAACAAGTAGGCGATTCAATGAATTCGGCTATTGCGACTGTGTTAGTGTACATATTATTGGATAACATCTATTGATATGTCAAAAAAGAAGGTAATTATAAGCTACAACCAATAATCTCAGTCAATTCATAATTTCGATACATGTGATTGTTTAAGTGGAAGTTTACAACAGCTGACTTTTTCTCCCTATGGACTAAAAGGGCGTTTTATTTCTAGGGAGCAAGAGAACTACTTTAGACCCGCAACTCATGTTTAGTAATTATACACTGTTCATTTGCTGCAGTAAGGTGAAAAATGCATGTTCATTCTCTTGTTTAAAATCTAGTTAACATTTAACTGAAGGATTAGTTGTTACATTAAACTTCGCATTTAAACCAGCATAGGGAAAAAACCAAACTTAACTCTATTTTCTAGGCCTATCACATTATATTAGCCTAGTTAAAAGTGTACTTACTTATCTGATGTATTGTTCATGAGCAATATTTTGCCGTAATTGTGGAAGACGATAAGTTAATGACGCTTCTTTTTCCGCGAGGGATATATCTAGGATTTTGCCGCGATTGCGGAAAAAGTTATTTCACCGTCACCACGGGTCGCGGGAGATATTAGGGACTGGGACGTATACGCGGGAGACGATGATGTTGTTATCTGATGATGTCATAGGCCATAGGTTTGATTGCAATCACGGTAGACTATGATAGGCTAATCTTTCTCCCATGACTACGGGAAGTATTCACGATTTTGCCGCCATCTTGGCAGACGACAATGACCCCTCGGTGCCTCGGGAGTTGCCGTGCTAAGCTAAAGTGCAAGTTTAGGAGGTAATGCATGCGATAATGTTTTACAGATTATTGGTACAGGGGGCCCAGCGAACAAACCTGCGGGGGCCCGAAGGGCTCTCATCCCCGCCACTGTTAGATAAACTCGTACTGTACACGAATTGTGAACAGTGTTTAGGTATAATTAAAATAATGTATGATTATGTGTATATTTATGTCTTTAAAAATGTTTAATTTCCAAGTCACATAATACATACTGTATAACATTTCAACACAAAAGACAACAAACAATAAATCAACAACAAAGACTCAAACGTTTCCAGTAATGTGATCGATTATTTTCCTTGCTATGAATGAAACCATTGCGCCGATTGAACACTACCAGTTGTTTATAATTTATAACTTGATTATTTTGTGTTTATTTGAAGCTAAGTTCATTTATTGTATTTAATTCAATTAAAATGAACGATAAATGAATGAACGACAGTAAGTCTCCTGAGACACCTAGCGGTGAATTGGCGAACTGCTGCGAACCTGTATGGTGGTGGTGACACCTAGCGGTGATTTAGCAAACTGGCGCACTATTGAAACAATAATAATAATGGTTATTGTCATTGTCTATATACGAGTACTATCACAGACAATGGTTTAATTTAATTCCCCCATTTTTCCATTCTTACATCATTTATGTATGTAACATAAAAGATAGTCTAGTAAAGCAATAATAAACTAAGTAAATAGCATTGTTAAGACGAACAAACAATTTTTATAACAAGTAATATTCTTAGTGGATGAGTTAGTTTCTCTTGATTTATATATTGGAAATTAGAGTTTTTCTATAAAAGTAATTACAGTATGCCTAATGAGTAAAATGGGTCTAGTAATAAAGAAACAATACTTTTCATAGAATAAAAATTGTGTTTTAATTAATTCTACTTTAGTCTATACTATATAATAGGACTATAAAATTAATTAAAAATTTCTTCAGTTACATTGCTGGTCTGTTGTTATAAAATCATGGTAGTCCCCAGCAATAACCGATTTTAGGTGTTGTGTTTAAATGATAGACCTTTCTTTATACAGGTTTGGCAGATGTTCAAATGCTGTTACTTCAACTTTCCCATTTTTCCGCTGTGGTAGGAGCTACCATTCTTCTGAAAAGTTGAACTTAAAGTTACTAGTTCCTTCACGGTTGTACTGTAAAGCTCAAATGTCAGAAACATAGGTGAGCTTAAAATTTTTTTAAACATGAGTTTTTTTTAAATGAACGTCAAACTCAGCTGGATTTTTCCTGGCTTGTTTACAAACATTGTAATTTGCTGGGACATTTATTTTTGAGCATACGCTCAATTAAAGAGTGCATTGAGTCACCCTCCATTTGGGTTTGACCCACTTCCAAGTACTTCCGTTCCACAGTAACATTTTTTGTACATGAAAAGTGCAACGCGTTAGCCAAATTTGAGCTCCGGTTTTGATACCCACAGCCATTGCTGTACACAATTAGTGTGGACTTTCCTTCTTTTAAAGGGAGCTACGACTACAAAAACTTGTAGATGATGGTTCCAAACTCATTCGATGTTCCACAGGTAGTTGTATTATTTACCTCGATGGTGGACACCCGGCCTTATTCCTGAGATGTCGGGCTGTCGTATTACAAACTACACCTTCCCCCCTTCACACTCACCACCTCGGATGTGTAGCATTAGTTTTTAAATTACTTTGTTATCATACTTCATAAAATTATAAGTAAGGCAGAGGAAATGTTGAAAATGATAGTCTAGAAGATAATTGTATGAAACAATAATAAATAAATAAAAATGTAAATAAATAAAATAATTCTGGGTTCGATATTTTTCGTACACATAGAGCTGAATATGAACATTTTGTATACTTTTTTTCATGTT